GGAATTGGAAGACTAGAAGGTCTAATAGCAGGGAGGCAATGTAGATATTAGAGACAATTTGGAGGGGGTGGGTAATAGAGGGTGGAAGGGAGAGGATCAGGGAAAAGAAAAACAAACATTTAATAAACACAAAAATGGAAAGTCATTTGTTGATAATGTATATGGTAATGTCTCTGACTTGACTAATATGCACTCTATCAAGCTGGGGAAGTCAGGTTGTGCACTGTGAAGATGTACAGAGGTTAAGTGTAAATTAAAAAATGTTCTAGATGGTCATTTGAGTCACAGACTTCTTTTTTTTTTTTGTCTTGCATGTACTTTAAAGTAATGTAGTAAAGGATACTTTCATTATACATTTTTTTCTCAAATTTCTTCTAGTAAATAGTTAGACATTAAAAAAAATAAGGATAAATTACAGGGCAAATGAAACTAGAAGAGAAGGGACTGTGGTACGGCCATGCCCCCTGGGGGAGATTTATCACTATCCCTCTCTCTAGCTCTTTCTCTCTCTCTCCCAGGAGCAGATGCACCCTATGACAAAAACAAACATACAAGCAAACCCTGAAACACTCCTCAGAGACAGCAGGTCACTGTGGATACACACGCATTTACCTTCTTCCCTCCGGTCACAAACTGCTTACAACTGGATCTCACAAAAAGGGGATGCACAGCAATGATCTGTAAGAGAAAAAAGACAACGCTGACTTAGGGGTCATGGTTAAAGCACAGAGTGAAAGTCCTTGAGGTGTCCCCAGCAGCATGATCTAAAATGATCTCGATACCTTCGTAGGAAGTAACGTATTCGGGGAATGCTCTGCCACACCTGAGGACATCGGAGTTTTGCTGTTGTGTGAAAAGATTTCTTCTCTGAAGCCAGGCAAAGTGCAAAGACTAATACGAATGTGTTCTAGTTTCTCAGCAAGGGGTCAATCAAGGCAAGATGTCAAACGGTCTGTAACTGACTGCGATCCAAAGAGGAAACGAGCACGAAGCTACCTCCTTGTCAAGGATGCCTCCTAACCATACATGGCACCAGGTGGGACAAGCGAGGCAATGAGGCAGCCTAAGGGACATTCAGCACATCCCAGGACACAGCTACAGGACCCAAGAGCTGGGCAGCTCACTGTTTGGGCTTCTCCTTTCACCCAGGACCTCAGCTACCATCCAGCCCTCATTCACTTTGTCCTCAGCCAGTCTCCTTCCTGCCACAGCGCACGCGTGTCTCCGTGACCCTTCATCAGCCCTCAGTACTACTCCCTGCATTCACCGGGGCGTTAGGGGTTACATGGCATCACCATCACAGGGGCGGGGGCGGCGAAGGAGGCAGAAATGGGGTTCTCATGGTTACAGGTGTGCAGCTCCAGCTTTGGGCTCATCTGCTGTGCCAATCAACCTGCATATTATCTGCCCTCTGTTAGAGAGGATTTCTAAGCACAGAAAAAAATCCACACAATTATACTTGCGTAAATCTTCAATTAAATATATTTCATGTTCTTTATTAACTTTCTCTCCTCTGATGGAATAGATCATACTGGATTGTTCTTCCTGCATGGTCATTTTTAGGGTTTATCATAGGACTTTTCATTCTTTCCCAGGTTGGCCTTTCTTCTTCTGCTACTTTAATACTTTTCTAACCCATCCTAAATGCCATAAAACACTTACACGTTTTGTGGTTACCTGTTCTTTTTTTTGAGAGGTTTTTGCTATATGGCACGTGCGCTCGCCAGAGAGACAGAAAGCGAGAAGTCATCCCCTGGGGGGAAAGGTCACGCCACAATCCCTTCTCCTCCATTCTCCTCTCGGGATCTTGGGCACACACACACACACACACACACACACACACACACACACACGCGGGGTGA